CTCTCTCTCTCTCTTTCTCTCTCTCTCTCTCTCTTTCTCTCCCCAAATCCTCGATTCTGTCAACCGTTTTTAAACCTTCAGTATCTCCTTTTCGTCTTTGAATACGCTCCTTGTTAGTGCTATATTGAATGTGCCGTCTGTGTCTGCAGCGAGTTTTCCTGTTGTTAAAACAGTCTGTGGTAACGAAGTTGTCTCTAAGTGAAGCACTTAAGGTACTCGTCAACTTAAACCCGTTTATTTGTAAATACGCCTCTCTCGTTGTAGAGCTTAAAATTCAACAGCCACAATGTCTGTCTGTCTGTTGGCTCTGTCCGCGAAAGCGATTTATTTTTGGGGCTTTTTAATGTGGGAGCTGTTTCAATTTGCGGGTTTTAATTTTTTTTTTTCCTTTTTGGTCTTGTCTCGTGTTAGATCTAATTCTCAGGGTTCCATATGAATGATTTGGTTTTTCTAAATAATTATTTGTTAATGAAAACACAATTTAAAGCAATTTTATAAATGCTGGTTAAGCGGTTTTCGGTATTTGTTTTTTTCTTTTTTCTTTCTTTCTTCCCTTTTCCCTTTGCCTCAGGCCGGTAGTTAATGTTGAGTCTCACTCAAAACTATTTTTAGTTGTTGTTTTTTCCCCCTATTTGTTTGGGGTGGAGGGCGCCACTGGTAGGTTTTACTTCTTTACTTTCCTCTCTGTTGTTTCTGTCTGTTTTTCTCACTTTTTTCCCAAACACTAAATGACCATTTTTGTCTCAGAGTGCTTTTCTTTACTCTAACAAACAAACAAACAAACAAACAAACAAAACTTCACTGCTATAACCGTTATCGTGTCGATGTGTATCTTTGTGTTTGTTTGAGTAAGTAGGACCACATCGAAACAAAAAGTATCATATAACGTTGGGAAAACAAGTAAGACAGACAGACAAACACAACACCTCTAGGCCTGTTCCTCTTCACTTATCTGGCCGTATTGTTTCGCAAATGCCGTAAAACTCTTACTAAAACTAAAAATAGAGGGAAAATAAACACACAAGTAGGACCCAGCAGTGGCGCCTTCTGACTACTTGCCTACATCTCTTCACTCAAACTCAAACTAGCGC